TGAACCCTCTTCTCCACCAGGGGCTCCTATTGATGCTGGCCAATCAGAGACCATATGCAAATAGCTCCACAGCGGCAGCCAATCAGAATCTTGGAACTTTCAGGCTAGCCAATCGGAAAGCTGCCACAAACACGTCCGCCCTCCACACTTCTGCCCTTCCACTACAAACACTCTCTTTTATTATATATATAGATATAGATGGAATGTCTTTATTTTGATGGAAAAGTGAATAGCTGTGTGCTTGATAGCTAGAATCATAGAGTTGGAAGAGACCTCGTGGGTCATCCAGTCCAACCCTCTTCCAAGAAGCAGGGCAATCACAATATTTGCGCATCTATAACAAAATAGAGTATGGCCACAGGGAAGCATCTGGTAATCCATTTCTGCTGTAACAGAAGTTGCTGAAATGAATTCCACTGATGAGGAAGTATGAGTTTAAATTTAAGAATAGAGATTAAAAAATATTTGACAGTAGTTTTTAGGTGCATCTACATTGTAGAATTAATGCAGTTTGACATCACTTTAACTACATATGGCTCAGTGCTATGGAATCCTGGGAGTTGTAGTTTGGTGAGGCATTTTTGGCAGAGAAGGCTAAAACTTTATAAAACTACAACTGCTGTGATTCCATAGAGTTAAGCCATAACAGTTAAAGTGGTGTTGAACTACACTAATACTACAGTGTTAGATGCACCCTTCCTTATTTCTAATTTCTTCAAATATTTTTTATAGTTATTTTGGCTAGAAAACTATTCAAATTGAAAACTATAGGGTGTTTCAAAATGATGGACCCAATTTCCAAGCAGTATATTTCACAATGGCAACATATTACAATTACACAGAAAGTTACAAACGGTTTAACAAATTATCAAGTTATCAAGTTTTACTAAACATTTTGAGACAGTAACAAATCTTTAAAAAACAACTCTTTAAATGGAGAATGTCTTATTAGGCCTTATGTTTTGAGGTCTCCATCTTGAAAAAGACAGGTTAGGGCTCTTTGTGTACTGGAAGAGGTTATTTGGTGGTAATAGTGTCGTTCATCCTTTCAAAGGGTGAGAGTTTAATTCCTGGGCAGTTTGTGGTTGCAGAGATAAAGCGAGAATGACCTGTTAAATTAAGTTTACAGCTACTGGGCAAAAGAAAATGTGTCTAAAATTTACAGTAACTTTTCTTAACTTGTGATTTTTTTTTCACCTTTTGCTGTTGTATGTTTGGTTCAGTATTGAAGCAGTTTTCATGGGAAATTCATAGCTTACGGTGATTTTATTGACTTTGTGTTCTTAAATTATTTTTAACTGACATAATTTGTATAATTTCCTCCAGGTTGATTTAGAAGCAAATTCCCAAAATAGAAGCCCGGAGTCACGTTCCAGCGCTGCTTATCCTAATTCTAAATTTCATCGCAAAGATAACATTAACCCCAGGCAGCTGAATCTTCACCTCACCCCTCCTCATGCTCAGTACGCTGTTCCTAATCGTCCCTTCCCGCAAGTTCCCCAAGTCCCGAGACAGCCATACCCTGTACAACAGCAGCAAAACCTCTTAAGTCAACAACAAAACCATTTGTCCGAACAGCAAAACCAAATGCACCCACAACAAAATCACATAGTCCAGCAGCATAACCATTTAAATCAACAACCACAACAGCAACCTTCACAGCTTTCCCCTGCCTATCAAACAGGCCCCAACCAATCATTCTTTAAAAACCCAGTTCCACATAGACCTCATTCTCCTGGTGTAGATGCTGTGGTTTCCGAACACCACCCTCCATCCCTTTTACAAGATGTCAGTAACCCTCTGAGGCCCATTGCACAGCATAACCCAATGATGGCACCCCATATGAACCACTTCATCGAAGAAAACCCTCCAGGAATACCTATAGGAGAACCATTAGGTAAGTATCAGTACCACATTTTATAATGGGAATGAAATACAGTCCCAGACTGAAAAGTGTTCTCACCTCAGGTTTGATAAGTTGGAGAGTTTCAAGATCAAATTTGTAAGTAATACTAAGAAAGAAAGAAAGAAAGAAAGAAAGAAAGAAAGAAAGAAAGAAAGAAAGAAAGAAAGAAACCCTCTTTTTTGTGGAATCCAGTAATGCTTTCTTTTGAATTACAGAAAGTGTTTTCTTTTCCTGCTGTGCTGGGTGGATTTTTGCAAAGCTCTGAGAGAAGTTGCAGGAAAGTAGACTAGAACATCTTTGTGCTGTTTGTTCCTGTGTTCTGGATTTCCTATCTAAAAAATGCTTGAAATCCTCCACCCATATCTAATGGCCTTCTGCAGGGTGATCAAAATCTTTCTTTTTAGGATTTTAGGCTGGAAATGGTTGCTCCCTTTTTGGCATGATTTAATAACAAGAAATACATATTTGTATTTTTTAAAATCAAGATTCTTTCCCATTTAGTTTTTTATTACAATAGAATAGAATAGAATAACTTTTTGTAATTGTACATTGAACAACGAAATTAAATGTGCTCCTGAGTACACATCACAAAAACAACACACCCATCCACCCACATTCCAACCACCACCACACAGTCCCCAATGCCACATCAGTTCAAAACCATTGAATTCAATATAGTTACAGCTCTAGGATAAAAGCTATCTCTCAGTCTGTTTGTCCTTGTTTTTGTCATCCTGTACCATCTGCCAGATGGTAATAGTTCATAGTGGAATCAAATTGATTTTAGAATTATTGATTTATGGTTTCAGCTTAACCTTAGGGCTGGCGTTCCTAATAGGCAAATTTATGTGAGTAGACTAGGAGCATTGAATTTGCTTGTCTGCTGACATAGAGCTACTGTTGTTTCCTGTCTTAGTCACTGTGAATCGTACACTTGGTATCTCTGCGCATGCGCAGACAGCTTTTGGAACCTTCTAGAAGTAAAAGAAACACTTTAGACCCGGCTAAGCCCGCCCACCTCCCTCGAGTATAAGTACCGCATGGGCGGGGTTAGCCAACAGTTCTCTTTTCCACGCTACTTTTGCAGCAGCTTGAGAACCTCTCTCTCTCCTTTGCGCCTTGACACTGATGCTGCTGGTGCTGCAGTGAAACATATTCCATACTTCTGGCTTTTTTGACTGCGGGGTTAAAGATCTTTGTCACTCATTAGCTAATTCTGGATTTTGTCCAGTGCCACCTTTATCAGCTTCTGGTCACCAGCATTTCCAACGTATGATAGTGGCAAAGTCAGGAACATCAAATTAATAACAATACTCCACACATAAACATTTTCTAGTCTTGCATTTCCAGAATGTTGACATGGGAATGAACATACTCTTTTGGTATTCTTTTAGACCATTGATTATAAGTACCGTATTTTCCGGCATACATGGTGACTGGGGGTATAAGATGACCCCCCCCCCCAACTTTTCAACACAAAATACAGAGTAAGGGATATACTTGCTGTTTAAGACGATTCCGCATTCCATGGAGACCGTCTGGGGGTGATGGCCTGCTGGGATGTCCCAGCGGCCCCCACTGCTTTACCCACTCTACTTTCAAGGCCTGCTCCGAAGGCCACTGGGCTCGCCTTAGGCCCAAGGAAGCGCCTCCGGAAGACTACTCCCAGCAGCGCTGGGCGGTGACGTGCCTGGGATGTGCTCCCAGAGGCATTCTGGGAGCACTAGTTCCCTGACTCCTACTGCTCCCAGAATGCCTCTGAGAGCACATCCAAGGCAATGCGCCATCCAGCGCTGCTGGGAGTCATCCAGAAGTGCTTCCATGGGCCTCTGGAAGATAACTCCCAGCTGTCCTGGGCGGCGGCGTGCCTGGGACTCGGCGTCCAGAGTCACTTCCTTGGGCCTAGGCAAGCCCAGTGATCTTCAGAGGAGGTAAGCATCGAGGGTAGTCAAGGTCCTTGAACAGAGAGGTGGGGGCTGCAAGGAAAGCTCAGCAGGCCATCAACCCCAGCTGGTCTCCGTGGCAATGCAGCCTGCCACTCCTCCTCCCCATGCTCTTATCCATATGCTAGACTCATCCCAGTATTTTGTCTTTCCATCTGATTACTCTTCCTGTCTAAGTTGGGGGAACAGTCTGAAATAATATAATATTGCTGAAAAGTAGAGTAAACAGTTTGTTGTTGCATTTCAAGTGCAAGTGTGGTTTCATATCAGTTTATTGATGAGGACATTTTGGTTTTAAGGTCGTGGATTGTAAATCCGTATTAAGCCACAACCATCAGCCTCTCCCGTTTATTTCTCATTCAATAAGGAACTGTGTTTTTACCTTCATTCAGGCACAACGGGGAATGTTAATTGTCAACAGTTATGTTTTGTTACAGACCTAAACCTATCAACATTATCGCCTGAGTAATTGTAATCAAACTTTCAGAATTTAAGCCACTTTCCATGAGTACCACCACCAACCTCTCCTCCTCCTCCTCCTCCTCCTCCTCCTCCTCCTCCTCCTCTTCTACCAAACAGAAATAGCTGGGGCAAATATCTATAGCCTTTTTATCGGTTCCCCCTTTTGCCCATTAGAGGAGCTAAGAGCTTCTTAAAACAATTTTTCCATTTCATGTGAATATATATTTTCTTGTTCTTGGTGTTTGGTTATTATAGAATAACATTGTTTTTTTTCAACCACAAAACTGTGAATGAAATTATTATGTAGGGTTTGAGTGGATAACATTCCAGATTAAGGCACTGAATGAAAGAATGTTTGTTCATCTACCTGGATGAACATGAAAGTGATCATGCATGGACCAGCTAACCCTTCTTATAGACAAGGACCAAGTGGTCCATGTCAAAAAGAAGAAAGCTTTTGGCTTGTTCCTGGTTTAAAAGACAAAGAATTTTAAAGCAAGATGTTTGGGTTTGAACTGTCCTATGAGGATGTGTTAAAATATTAAAAAGTTAACAAATTGATTAATAATGGCACCTTTAAAATTGCTATTATTAGATTTGCAGACCTTTTTTTATTATACAGACCCATAATTGCTGATACATATTTTGGATAGTATCACCTCACAGTCACAAAAAGGAAAAAGAACGTGACCCTTGTTCATAGGTGCCGTGTGATATTGCAAAATACAATTTTCTGACATAAACATTTTAAATACAGAAGCTGGGTAATTTTTCCCCCAAACGTGTTTTACAGATCGTATTCATGGAAATTTAGCTTTGGAAACCTTAAGGCAACAGCAAGCAAGACTACAGCAATGGAATGAGCATAACGCCTATCTCAGTCAGGGCAATATTCCTTATTCTCACCATCACCACCCTCACTTATCCCACCTTTCTCAGCAGCCAATTGGATTGCATCAGCAGCCAGTTAGGGCAAACTGGAAATTTGCCAACAATGCAGAAGATGAATCTGAGGCAACATATTCAAGGTAATTGTGGAATTAATTCTCAAAACGGTTACATTTGGATAGACATGGAGTGCATTTCTCTGTCATTGCAATGTCATAGTCAGTTAAGCTTATTTGCCTTCCTGATTTCTCATACTATGTTTTAGAAAGTAAATAAAAACAAGAAATTTTAGTTACAATACATGAACATTGTTGTATTTATGTCATAACATTTCATTTTAAATGTACCAAAAGTTTATCGGCTGGACACTTGAACATATCCAAAATCAATTGTATCAACAATGGAGTGGAATTAAGTTATAATATGCTGTTCATTTTAAGAAAACTAACAATGAAATGAATTGGTCATACACATAAACAAACAAAGGCAAAACAAAACATTTCTGAAGGTAATTTCTCAAGCAAACCGAGATACTTTCATCTATAATCTGTGAGAAGTGAGAGGGAGAAAAAAAACTTTAGCTGCTGAGAGAGCTGCCTATCTGGAGCTCCTTCTCAGAGAGTCAACATTGTTGGGCTGGAAACACAAGACTATGGAAGACAAACCTTAAGGAGCAATATCCCACTCTCATCTTTGTATTTAACTGACTGTTTCCTGATGATAATCCCCAGTGTCAAGACAGATCTCTAGTATCCATCTAACTTTAGTTTGTGAATTTCATTCAGTAGCAGGTTCACAGGGCTGGAAAGGATTTTTATCTGTAAGCACAGTTGGCCCAGTTCACAGATATTTTTTGGTGTATATTCTCCATTTGAAGCTTGCTGTGAGGATCAGTCAGATCCATTTTAGGAAAAAAATGGGGAAGCTTATCTTATAGAAAAGACTACATCAGAAACCTGTTATGTGTTTCAATGGATTTTGTAGGAAAATGGAGGTTGTCTGTAACACATGTCAGTTATTGTACTTTTTCTAATGGCTTAGCTTCTTTTATGTTTCTGATTGATCATGACTGTACATACACTTACTGGTGAGTTGCTGATTTAGGTTTAAGTTGATTTAGGTTCCCTTCAGGCAATCATTTCATCAACATAGCTGCACATAACTGCCTTTTAACATATCATAAATTAGTTTAAAACAGGGGACCTCAAACTTTTCAAACAGAGGGCCGCTTCACAGTCCTTCAGATTATTTGGGGGGGGCCGCAGACTATTGTATTTTTGTGTGTTTTTGCACTACAAATAAGATATGTCTAGTGTGCTTAGGAATTTGTTCATATTATATATATATATATATATATATATATATATATATATATATAATGTTCATTATATATAATATGATATATAATATGATATATAATATTATATATATAATGAACAAATTCCTAAGCACACTAGACATATCTTATTTGTAGTGCAAAAACACACAAAAATACAATATTTAAAATGAAGAACAGTTTTAACAACATAAAGTTGCCAGCATTTTAATAGAAAATGTGGGCCTGCCTTTGACTCATGAGATAGTCAAGTTAATTAGGTTGTTGCTGTTGCTGTGTGCCCTCAAGTTGTTTCAGATTTAGGGCAACCCTAAGRCTTATGTTTAGGGAGGAGGCAGGGTAAATGACCTTGCATCTGGCCCGGARGCCTTCATTTGGGGACCCCTGGTTTCAAATATAGGGTAAATGACCAGTTCTAACTCAGCCCTACACATTGTGGAATACGGCCTTATTCTTCCTACCAATTACCCAGATTCTTTCCTCTAATTGGCCCCGGAATGAACAGCCAYAGACCCRTACTTAATATTATTGTTGCCTGCTATAGCATTGCACTTAATTCCCGGGCCCCCTAGAATTGTTGGGCTTGCACAAATCTTGGCCCAGCCTTTTAAATGTTTAAATTGCCCTGAACAGGCAGGATTACTTTTAATATATGTGTTTTATGGTGACATTTATGCTTATATTTTGTTTTGTTAATCTTATGGTTATGTTGTTTTTACTTTGTATGTTTTGTGATGTTACCTGGGAACCGCTCCGAGTTTTATTGTTACTTATTCTTAAAGTCTTAAGTATTGAGAATTTATGAACTCAAGACTTATAAAACTATAATGGATCTGTATTAAGGTGGCATAATACATGCCCTGGATCATTCTTTAAAATATAGCTTGCATGTTTTGTGTACTGTGATTCTTTGAATTTTAGGATTTTTTTGTGAACAGGTTCAAATTTTATACTTTGTTTCTCACCTGGACATTATGTTTTATGTTTTATTATAGGTTCCAAGATTTGCTTCGAGAACTGTCACACCGTGATCAAAATGAAAGCAGGGACCTAGTTGAAATGCCACCACCCCAGTCAAGACTTTTGCAATACAGACAAGTGCAGGCCAGAAGCCCGCCAGCACTCCCCTTGCCTTCATGCAACTCAAGCCACAGCAACCACTTTCCTAACTTCTCTGAGAACAGGGACATTGAAGTATCCAACAACCCAGCTTTTCAGCAGCATATGCCTCAAATGTATAATCCACCTTTTACCATGCCGTCTGAACACATAGCCCCACCTCCCCTGAAATATCTGCAGCCTGATGGATCATGGACCTATGCTAATCTACACCAGAGTCATCTAATGGGGCAAGGTTTTCATTATGGTATACCTCCATTGCCTCATAGATCACAACAGAACCCTTTTATACAAATGCAGAACCATCAGCACACGGTTGGTCAGGAACCATTTCACTCCCTCACTTCGCGAGCAGTGTCTGCTTCTTCGTTACACAGCTTAGAAGAGGTATGTGGGTTTCATCCTTTGTATATATGTTGTTTTTGATTTTGATTTAACAGTTATGTGCTGATTGATTAAACATTTCATGGTACCAAATTCAAGCTGCTCAACACAATAGGTAGCTTTTGCCCAGACCCTTTCTAATTGTTATAGTTGTACTGTTGCTGGATTTGTATCAGATATTATGTGTGTAATTGTATTTCTGACTGATGTAGTGATTAATATTTTTAGTTACAGAAAAAACAAGTATGGAGTAGGGTGTGAGCTTGTTTGCTATTTACACTGTTGATTTTAAACATAACTTTTAATGAAGAAATAGCAGGTTGATTTTTCTGTAGTCTTTAAAATTATAGTATGATTTATAATTGATTGCATCGTGATACTTGTGCAGTTAGCTAATCTAAATAAATCAAAACAATATCATACTTCTTTAGGTAGTGTCTTAGTATCGAGATAGTTCTTTTTCCTGCTAAAGCCCATAGTCATGTACCCCTTTGGTGTTCCATGCATTGAGTTTAGACATCCAGGGTAGGTTTAGCACTGTTCTTGGTAGCCACTACATATAATGAATTTTTTTTTCACCTGAATGCTCATTCTGAATATTACTTGTGGGCTAGAATTCAAAGACATAACCATGTGAGTCTGGAATATCTGTATGTAAGGAGATCTTGTAGTACCTTAGAGACTATCAGAGAGAACAAAGTTGTTAGCCTAACTTATGGTTGCTATCTGTCCCTGTTTAGAAGAGAACGGAGAGCCACAGGATATTCTGAACGACAGTAAGGCATGTCTTTGTCTCTAGGAATTACGTATGTGCAGGGCTTCTCCATTGTCTTCTAAACTCAGATATGTAGAATCATAGAAGATAATATATTATAGGATTATAAGGTTGGAAGAAACCACAAGGGCAATTCAGACCACCCCATTCTGCCATGTAGGAATACATGTAGAATCCTATGCAGTGACATTACGATTAATTAATGTACTGATTACAGCCAAATGATATGACCGTCAGAAGCACAGCTTGCATCTCTATCAGTGACTATTCTGCCATATCTAATAGTTCTATTCTATTGTCAAGAATCACAACATTATTTTGATGGCTTTTATACATCTTCATTAGCAATAAATAGGATGGGGAGCGACCTGAAAGTAGACTGAACTGGGCTAACTGAGAAAACAAGAACGACGAAGCCTGTTAATTTCAGGCTTTTTTCAGAAACACAGTTGGGAATCAGAAAATTGCTGTGACAGACACAGGAAAACGCATTCAGCAAATCTTTGTTTTTATTGTTTTCTTGTTTGTTTTTTGTCAGTATCCCAAAGCCCCTATACCCCTGGTTTTATTTTGTTTTCTTGAAAACTAGACTCAATGGTTTATAATAGATTATTGATGCAAGATCAACACACTGAAATTAGGCTTTGCTTATATGCTGTACATATATATTTTTTTCAGTATGTGAAATACAAAATTAATATATTTTTGTGTTTGCTAGCTCTTGAATGTAAAAGAACATAGCCATTTAATTTCTCACTGAACTATTTGAAGTGATTCATCAACCATCTAAAATTATACAGGAAACTATAATATGTACTATCAATTCCTAATAATAAATAATAATAAAACTTTATTTGTGCCCCACCACCATGTCCCCGAAGGGACTTGGGGCAGCTAACAAAGCACTCAAGATGTCACACATAAAATAGAATTACATATCATCAAAACAATACACAATTTGACTGAATATAAACAATGGACAATGTCAATTGATACAATTAATTTTTTTTAAAAAAACTAGTGGGTCATTGGGTTTCTTCAGACATGAACTAAAGTGTCAAATAACAATGGTCGATGTCATCACATGACCATAGTACATTACTTCAGAACAAAGCCCCGTGTAAATAGCCATGTTTTTAGGCTTAAACGAAAGATTTGGAGATTTGGGGCTAACCTAATTTCCCTACGGAAGGGAATTCCAGATCCGGGGAGCCACCACCGAGAAGGCCCTCTCTCTCGTCCTCACCAATCACACCTGTGATGGTGGTGGGACCGAGTGAAGGGCCTCCCCAGCAGATCTCAAGGCCCGCATTGGTTACTAGTGTTCTGTTTGTTAAGTGATTATGTTGCTATTTTATAAGTTAAACCATGGTGGTGTTGAGCACTTAATATTACTATATGTACTAAATATTAAACACATCGCAGACCTTGGACTATTATTTTTAAATGTAATGTTTCATGTTAAAATTCTGCTTTTGAAAAATTAACTAGTTCTTTATTTTTAGAGGGCCATGTTAGCAATTGAGTTGCAAACATGTTAATTTTAACGTGATGACGATGGTTACAAATATATATCCAAAGTACAAAAAATGTTAAAATACTCCCCAACGGACCTCCTCATTCCCAATGTTTTAGAGGTCATAAAAATGATTGCTACATTATTTTTCAAACATAATATAGACCATTGCCACCTCAAGCTGTAGTATTATATGGGTAAAATCATTACTTTTAGCACATTATATTCAAGCTATGAAGTATCACTTTTGCTAAATTGATAGTATTTTATTCTTCAGAAGCCATGTCTCTAATGTAATTTAGTCAGTGATGGTTGAACATTAAACTAAAATGGCAGCACCAGGGCACAATTGCATTTTTAAAATTTAATGATAGCTTCAGAAAGTAGAATGTAAAAGAATGATATAAAGCAGAAAGAAGATAGAGAGAGCTGGCAGTATGTGTGTGTGCATAGAAACAATGAAAGGAAACATGATGTGAAGTTAAAGATGTCGATGGCTTAAGCTAATGAGTAGTGGTTGGAGTTGTTTGGTGTGACACTTGTGGACTCCCTCAACAATGGAAGTGATACTTTAATTCATTGGTACACCTCTTCTGAAAATGTTGTTAGGATGAACCCTCCATAAGTCGTTTACAATCCATAAGTAAGAGGAAGTGTTGGAAAATGTGCCAGATTGCAAGTGGAAACTTGCTAAGGAAGAGCAAAGGAGAAGTCAGCGCTGTGACTGATGATGCAAGTGGACTTAAGCCGAAACAGTGTTCAAATGCTGACATGCTTATATTTGAAAGGAAAGTCTGCAATTTCACAACAAATAGAAGAGAGATGTGAAGCGCAGGAAGCATGAATCAGGGAAAGCTAGGAATCATAAAATAAGAAATAAAATGCATTAGCAATGTTTTGTGTGAGTGAGTTATAATGTATAGGAATAGAACAGTTTAAATCACTGTTTTGCTCTGGAAATGACAATCTAACAAAAAGTTATTTGACAGTCATGGGAAGGCAAAATCTAGCAAAATTAGTTGGGATATAATGTGAAGTTGCCTAAATAATATCAATTACACTTCATGGAAAATCATAGGATTCTGTGCAGGAGTCCAGGAGGAAACCAGTCACACCACAGTAGGACGTGTTGATAGGCATGTGTGGTTGGAACACAAAAGAAAGAAAAAGAGCATAATCAACATTTTAGGGGAATTTGGCATTTTAGGAGATGTGAGCAATGAAGCAGAAGAACTGACTTATAGAATTTTGTGAGGCCAACAGTTATTCATTGCAAACATGTTCTTCTGGCAGCCAAACTGGTGGCTATATATGTAAATGTCACTGTATGGCCAATACAGAAATCAAATAGAATACATAATTAGACGCATCTGATAGAGAAGCAAAAACCATGGAGTGTGACACTAGTCTTGAACTGCTAATTTCCAAAAAGCAAAGACAAAGGATTACACTAAATTATACCTACATATGGCACAAGGTGAAGAACATCCCTGTAGAATTCAAAGACAATGTAAAGAACAAATTCGTACTACGAAGTGTAATTGACATCCACCCCTCCCCATCCCCATCCTCTCTCCCCATTTGAGTGACTGAGGAAACTTAAAAGTCATGGCCTAAACTGAGCAAGGAGGCATTTAATTCTCCCAACACACATAAAGTCCTTATGGGGTTACAGAGGTAAAAGTGGAGTGAGGGAGCCATCCAGTGGGAGTGCAGGTGAGTGGTAAGTTTGAAAGGAAAACAAGGAAGACTATTGCTATGGATATGTGGATATACATATATTTGCATGTATTCTGAGAGGTTCCACGGTACATCGATCTCATGAACATGCCCGAAATCTCATCAGGCATGCCCCAGCATTGGCAGTCTTTAGAAGGAGCTTGAAAACGTGGATGTTCCAGTGTGCCTTCCCAGAATAAGGAATCCCAAGCAATAGGTCCCAAATTCACTTTACGAGAGATCTAGAATTGTCTGCACGCCCACCTATCCCTAAAATATCCATCCTATTTCTCTTGAACATGCCCAGCATTTTAAAATTTTAATAATTACATTTGGCCCTGCCACAGGTTTTAAATGCGTCATGGTATTATTGTTATTGTTTTGCTTTGTTATGAGTTATTTATTGTTGTATTGTTGTTGTTGTGTTTTATTGATGTATTTGGGCTCGGCCTCTTGTAAGCCGCACAGAGTCCTGCAGGAGATGGTAGCAGGGTATAAATAAAGGTTTATTATTATTATTATTATTATTATTATTATTATTATTAAACTTTATTTGTACCCCGCTAGCATCTCCCGAAGGACTCGATGCGGCTTACAAAGGCCAAGGCCTCAACATAACAACAAACAATAACAATGCAAGCAAATTAAAAACATAAGCAATAACACAACAAAACATTACACTATTACACAATAAAATCAGGGCCGGGCCAATGATGGGTACAGGTTAAACGTGCTGGATGTGTGAGGTGGTATGTTGGAGTTCTGGGCAAGTGCAATGTGCAGAGAGTATTAAATGCTAATAAAGTGCTTATTATTATTTGATTCCAAGTTGACTTCAGGGGTGTGAACTGTGTGGCTTTCAAGAACAATTTGAGTTCATTGTGGATGTAACAGAGTCAAGACAGAACAGGATATTCTTTAAGACACTGGAGCAGGATATATTCCTCATGTGGGTTCAGTATGGCATTAGATATACAGTTTCGATATTGCAGGGTACATGCCCCCTCCCCAAATGTGTGGCTAATGTTTGCTCAGATCATGACAGGTTTTGAATTGAACTTTGCTATTTATCCATATTCTATTCGCTTTCTTTTTTGTCTTTGATTTTTAGAACAAAGTCGTAGTAGTATTAAAACCTTGCAGTGGTAATGTTTGCTAAACAAAATGATTTAATTTGATCATGGGCTGTATGCTATCTAGAAATTATTTCCAAAAGATGAATTAAATTAATATGGCTAAGCTAAATCTACCATGAAAGTATAACAAATATACCAGTGTCTTAAAGTCTTGTACAGTTGCACTCCAGGGAGAAGTTAAGAGAGAAGACAAAGTGACAAATTGGAAAGCAAGAGATCATTGTAAAAGGGGAAGACAGTTAAATGTAATACATTACTCACAGTTGCAAAACAAACTGAGGCTAGAAGTATCATTAAGCAAAGCAATTTCTTTCCTTGCCTATTCTTTTATATAGTATGAACCAAGAGGACCAGGCAGGCCATTGTACCAAAGAAGAATTTCATCTAGTTCAGCCCAGGCTTGTTCTGAAGATTTAAACACTCCTCAAGATGGCCTTGGACAGTGTAAAGAGCTTCAGGACCACAGTAACCCACCCTCTTTCAATTATTCATCACCTGAAATGTGGGTAAACTCCACTTCATCAGCCCCATATCAGAACATTCCATGTAATGGATCCAATAGAGCAGGCCAACCAAGAGAGTTGTTAGGTAAGTGGACTTGCTTGTTGTCTTTGCCCCAGTTGCCGATTGGTCAATTTTCATTGCTTTGTTTCTAGCATTTATAAATTTCTTATCTTTTAGCTTTGATCAGTTATGACCCTCCAGTTGAAGAGGTAGCTCACACATGTTTAGCAACCTGGATTATAAAGAAACTGTACTTTGGAAAAAATGACTTTTGTCAAGTCCATCTATGGATGCAGTCACAGTGGGGAGAGCATAAATACATAGCTTGTATCTTCTGGATCCGCACAATGCAAGATTTAGTCTATTGTCCCTTCAGACCATTCTGTACAATATGAGATCTATAAACCTACAAGTAGTAAATGTTGCTTTCAAATGATTCCAGACACTGCTGCATGCGCATAGTGGACAACCATTGGTAACGAAGGTTGTTCTGTAATGTAGGGCACCCTGAATAAAGCAAAGCTTTATAAGCTTTTTATTAAAAAAATCTTTGTTGGATTTCCCCCCAAACTGATAGGAATTTGAGGAACAACTAAAGATGAAAATAAGGGGAGCGGGAGGGGGATCAGACTCTTAAAACTAATAGATGAAATTCCAAGTGAGTCTGAAAACTTACAAAATATACCTCCTTTGCGTACTGAGTGCTTTCTTCTTCAGGGGTTGCTGCTACTAAAGGGAGGTTGAATGAATCATGCATGCATGTCATTGTCAAGTTTCTTGCTACTGAAATTATTATACTCCTAAAGAAGCTGACATTCAATCTTAGAGGAGACCTCAGTGCATGGGTGGGAAACTGTTCCACCCACCTCGGATTTTGTTGAGTTGTGACTCTTCAAAATCCCTTACTTTAAGCCATTCTTGTTGTGTCTGATGAGAAAACCCATGTCCCTGCTTCAGAGTGAAGATGGGTAAATGAAGCTGCAAGTCAACTTAGTCCAGAATAATCTAGTTAAAATCAATTTGATTGTAACCTAGGATCCAAAGTTGCACATGTGTGCATAGGACAATATACACTCCCTGCTTCCAAGCAAAAGAATCACCCACATTTTCATTTCTGCTGTTAGAAGTTCTCTGAGGTATTGCCCCATGGTAGTGTTGTGCTGATATGTGAAGGGAGGTGAATGTTATTTTATGATATTTGTGGTTTTAGTTTTTGTATGGTTGGATCTTACTCATTATTTGAGCTGTTCTCTAAGATGTCTCTTAGACAATTTGATATTATCAAGATATCCAGTTTTTTTAAAATGTACTCTGATTCCATGGGATAAAATGTCTCGTCATTTCCTCCTATTTCACTCACCTAGGCTTGAAGAAGATGAACCTAATAGATATCTTTCTCACTCACTTGGTCTTTTGTCTGTTTGTATAACTGAGTGAACATGGCTTCTTTTTTTTTGTTCCATCTAGTTCCATCGAAGACTGCCAAATCCCCCGAGGAACAGCTGAAGGTTGAAAACATCCAGTTGTCCCCTTCTTTTAATTACAACGTGCTCCAACATCTTGGCCAGTTCCCTCCCCTCATGCCCAACAAGCAGATTGCTGAGTCCAATAGCAGCAGCCAGCCAAGCGCTGGCGTCAACAAACCTGCCATGTCGTACGCAAGTGCTCTGCGGGCTCCCCCAAAGCCCAAAGCCCCTCCTGAGCAGGCAAAAAAGAATAGCGATCCTTTGTCTTTATTTCAGGAACTTAGTCTAGGTAGTTCATCAGGTAGCAATGGCTTTTACTCCTATTTTAAATAATCAGAATATTTTTGTAGAGAAATTTTAGTTTCTATTTGTGTCTGTAGATTTAGGGTAGTCGGGGCTTCATCTGCAGTTGCCACCATTTGTCTTTGTTTATATTAGTAAACATACCTTAGTTTAATTGCTTTGCTGCTAGACTTGAATCTAACCTTTTTAAGTTATGTTCCATTATCTTAATTTTTTTTTCCTTTTTGATGTGGGTCAGAAGTTTGAAAAAAAATCTCTAGAAAAACACACTCTTAAAAAAATTATGTAACTTTATATATGTGTTGCATTAAAGCTAGCAGCCGGAAAGTTGATTGTGCAACTTTAAAAAAAATATACAAAATTTAAAAAAAAGTTGTCTAAATTGTATTTAAAAAGAAATGTAAGTAGCATTTACATTTATTCAATAACATTTAGCATACTGTGCTGGGTTTCTGTACCAGAAATGGCCAGTCGATGTACAAATGTATGTTATGTCTGCTTAAATTGTTTATTTTTTTTAAAATAAAAGTGCAGCAGCTTCTAATTACTTTCACTTTTATCAGCTTTCTGTGAAGGGATGCTGCATTCTAAGACTTTTATAGTTTTAGAAACTGTATGGCGTGGCATAGTAATCTCCTTTGATTGTAGGATAAAGTGAAGACCTTCTTTGCAGATCCAGACGCCACTGTTAAAATTTCAAAGTAAAATGGAAAAACAGTGGTCAGTTAAAAAAAAAACCTACACATCTTATTTTTGGACAAGCTGCTAATTTTAGCTTGTTAGAAATGTGGAATTGATAGGTTTATAAACAAGAATCATGAAATTAAAACCGATTTTTGTTATGTTGGGTGCTTTGTAGTTTAATAACTATTTTAAAAAAACTGAGTGATTTTAGTAAAATATTTGGATCCTGCTCCCAACTATGCATGTGTAAATCGCTTGTAATCTGGTTTCTCCCCCTCTGGTTTCTTTAGTGGTATAAAGAACTGTGCCGTTTTAAATCCTCCCCACCCCCCGTATCCTTTTGGTATATTATTTGATGTTTACATTAAATGTGACATTATACACAGATATTCAACTATTTTGCTAATTGTTTTGTTTGAGGAACTTCATTAAAGAAGATTTTTATGTTTGTCAAAGCTGTATCCAAATTAATCCAAATTTTGGGGGAGTAACATTGTGGGGGAGGGAGGGGGAAGGAGATGTGCTCTGACATGGTTGTTTTTATCTTTGTATGTTCTGCTGAGGTTTTCCACAAGCCTGGTCTTTTACCACTATATATTGAAATCTATAAAGAATTATACAGCAATATGTAAGAAAATTTTGGAAAAAAATAGGGTAATGTTTACCTTTCAGGTTGTGGTCTTGTACACTGTTCATACTTTTGAAGTAAGGGATGTATCTTTTATAGCTTCTATAAAGGCACTTGTCCTCCTTTACACTTGAAAAGATCTCTTTGATAGGGGACATTCATTACTATCACCCGTTTATTTATTTTGATTTCCCATTGTAAGAGTCAAGAGTACTATTTTAAAAGGTAGTATCATTCATTCTCCCCACAGCTTTGAAATCATTGGGATCGATGCACAGCCTTTTGCTGAGCTACTGTACTTGCTGCTGTATTCAATCCGATGTTTGCTCTTGTTACAATCCATTTATTCCTGTTGGGTCTTGCAAAATTGTGATGGTGAAAATCTCAGCTTGGCTGAAATCAATGTCATTTTTCTTTTGATCCTAAATAGGTCAGGATTTCACTTAAATGTTTTTTTCTCTACAAGATCAGTGCACCCTGTAATATTTCATGGCTATAGGAGGCATGGCTCAGAAGTTCAGGGTAAAGATGTATAGCTATAGGGTTAAACCCAGCCAAAGTGAAGGAGAAAGGTCCAGTTCAGTTTTGCCTTTCATTTGAGCATTTGGCATAAAAGCTGAAGGATTTTCAGTAGACCTTTGGTTGCTGTACTTTGCTGTCACCAATAACAATACAATGGTCTAAGAATAACATTCTTCTTGAATCCCTCTAAAATAAGCTGTTTCTGATAGTTATTATCCTAAAGTTCTAAGATGAAATCCTTCTCCTCATTACAGCGTGGTAAAAGAAGAGTATTGAAGGCAGTGAGAGCTATGTAGACATAACTTATGGCAGGAATGCCGTTCAGGTCCAAGAAATATTATAACCTGTGCAAAATTAAGATGACAGGTTAGTTAGAGCTCAGAAGCTGTTGGTCAAGTCAGTACTCTCACTTTAGGAGTTTCAAAATCACACAAAATTTGTTCATGTCATTTAAACATTAAACTAAAAATTAAAACTACATGTTCATTTATTTTATTCTGTGAGTTGAAGAACAGTCATTCATATCCAACTGCATTGCTTTTAAACTATCACACACTAGTATTTTCATTGCAGAAACAACTTCCTAAAAACGTTAAAGCACATTGTTCCTTTTCTCTCTCTTTTCACCTCTTCTATTACCATTGTTTAAGTATGTCTTTTATCTCATCAGTAAGTGAAGTTAGATGCATACGCCTCCATTTGGAAGAATTATTATCTTTTCAGAATTCAGCAATTAAAGTAAGGTTTCAGTAAGATGAGGAAGGTGATGTAGTCTTCAATCCATGATGGATTTAAACAGACATATTGTGGATTTAGCAGATTGGTTTTTTGAGGTTTAAAATATTTTTCTCTCTCTCTAGAAACATTAGAGAATTGACAGCTTCAGAAGTAGAGTTGATTTTGCATGGGAAGAAAAGCTCCACATTTCCGTTTGTTTCTCCATTCACGTTAGACCTTAGTTTTATTGCCCTGTTTTCAAACTGCTAGTATGTAATTATACTTACACTAGGGATTTTTTTTCTTATAATCAAATCACAACCTTTTCATTGATTTCCGTCATGGTGGAATTGCCATCGTCAGTGGATTGTTCTATTAATAAAGGCTTTATTAATGTGTTGTGAATGACTGTAAAATAATACTCCATTTTTACAACTCAATTGTTGGAGCTGGTACATACTTAAAATGTGGGCCTTGTTTATGCCAAATTTATAATATAGTTTTAATGTTCCACATCTCCTCAAAAGTAATAAGATTTTCCATCCTTATTTCATTTCATGTTTTCAGGAACGGAATATATTATTTTCATGGGAACAAGCATTCATGTCATCGATCAATGCATTTAAAGAGGATACATTACTGAAGCTAGAAGGCATAACCTGCTCAAAGTCAGTAATGTTTGAAAGAAAAGGCTACTTTGTCTTTGACATGTGAACCATGTTGGTTGTCCTTATAATGAATATCTTAGCTAGAATATTTTTTTTCTTTTCTTGTAGCTGAAGGAGCATTCAGTCTTGTAAATTTTAGAATGATGTAACTGAGAAATTCTGCATACTGTGACATGAACCTAGAAAACTAGATGGTTCCTGATGCTAGGACAATTTAACTTGTGAACCTCATTTAATTGTATTATGGTGTTGGGTACACACTGGATTCTACATGCCTCATTTTTTTCTACCTCTGTTTCCTTGCCCAGTAGCTGTGTACTAGTTAGCTAATGACGAAATTTCCCTTTGGTGGCTTAACTGATCTAGATTTATCAATATACCCTGCCAGATCATTTTTCAGTCAACTTCCCCTTTGCTCACTTCCTAAAATGTTTTTGCCAGTGATTGAAAATCCCAATACAAGACTTGTTGGGCTGTCGAAAGGTTTTCACATTAAGTGCTCGCCATACCTTCATGAAGGACATCCCAGATGGTACAGAATTTCCATTTTTGTTGCGATTTATCCTCAGTAAATTAGAATGTACTTTCAGGTATGGAAACACTCTTAGTGGTACATTACCACTGTGATCTCAGATCCTAAATGTGTGTATGGCAGTTCATCACTTAATGCAGCCTTCCCCAACATGCTGTTGTCCAGGTCTTTGGGACTTCAACTCCCACTTTCCATGATCATTGGCTGTGCTGAGGAGAGCTGTAGCCCAGTGGTGTTATATGTACTTATTGGGAATAGATAGAGGGATTCATCATATTTTATGGAAATTGTGTAACAAATGACCCTAGATTTTAAGAGATTCAAAGTCTGGAGAACAGAGAAAGCCATGGGAAAAATATAGAACTTCTCAATTAATATGCCCAATGTTTTGTATAGTCCTAACATTTATTCTAGGGGTGTATGTGTGTGTGTTCCTATAATGAATTTTACTTACGTACACACACTCTGTCAGAACTCTGAGCTATTTAAGGCACATCTGAAAAGTTTCAGTAGAAGTTGGATGGTTGTAGGACTCAAATAGCTGCACACATCTTCTCCTTTAACATTTGCTTCTACCCTTTGGTCATTTGCCAGAGGAAGTATAGAGAACACAGTATTGAAACATCACTAGCCATAACTTTCCTTACTTTCACCCATTTCATATTTTGCACAGCGCTGGGTTTCTTAGCTAGCCTGTATTATTGCACCAAAGCCTGCAAATCCCAACCTTACCCCATGCCCCAAAATATGAGCAGGGAAGCAGTGTGTGGTTGGAGAAGCTGGCCAATATCAGATTCTAATCAGTGTACTGTATGTGTTTGTGTTGCATCACTTACTAAACAACTATGAACAAGACAGGCGACACTTGGGAGCATCAGATTTTCCTTGTAGTCTTATACCCCAAGCATTATACTGCTATAAATTCCTGGTTATGAAGGCCCCAAGTTGCTTTAACTAAATAAATAACATGAATTTGTGAGAACGTGTGCTAATAGTTCTGGATCTAATAGTGTATCCATCACAAAATGTATATGCATTTGATATATGTGAAAAACTTTGTTAACTGGCACAGCACTATAGCTTTAGTAGAGTCACTTGACTTTTGATCCATCTTTATACAATATTGGTTTCTCTTAGGATCCAGCTTTAAATGGATTAAAATTAATGAATAAGTAAAGGATAGATTTGAGTGATAAGGTGAATTTTGGATCTGCTTCATGTCCTATTCAGATGAGTAGAAATTTTCCATTCAGACAGGTCATTCCCTCTAGATGGGCATTGCATTTCTTTTTTCATGCAGAATTGATATCTTACCAGTTTTATTTTATTAGTCATTGTTTCAGAGTGATTCATCTTGCTTTTGCACTATTCTGTTCATGCGTAGTGCCTATTCATCTTTCCATATCTATCTGATAATGGCCATTGTTAGTCCGATGTGGAAATGCTCACAATTTTTTTTCTTCTGATACTTAGACATCACATAATATCACATTTTATGTGTGGTTGATTTTTTAAAAATGGTCCATTTCGCTTCTTGAAACATGCAATCGCCAACTGCCCTGGGATATTTTTAAGAGGCAAAATTTCTCTTTTGCCACAATACATCCTGGGTGTTTTTTGCCCAGTGTTAAATATAATAAACCTTTAGTGATCTACCCAATAATAATTGTTCTACCTCTGGAGTCAGCCTTTGTTAAAATGGAACTGATTTTTAATGATCTATGGACATTGGAGACAGATAAAAATGTCTACACAAGAGTCTGCCATTAGAAGTCAGTACTTGAGCATTAGGCTGTCCCTATGATTATCATATAAAAGCCATTTGAAACCTGTTACTGCATGCAACCCAGGGCTAATGTGCAAAACTATAGCCCAGTTTCAACAATCAGCAGGATTCAATGTGATCATTTGTGGACGGGCACAAAGTTGCTAAAGAATTTAGCTACCTAGCATATATCAGGTGGAGGTGCCATGTGGGTCCTATGCACATGGACACTGTGATTTGCACTACAATTACGACTCCGAAGAAACTAACTATGACTGAAACATATATAGGCCCTAGCACTTTATGCAAGCGGTGCCTCCATACGTCTCCCAGCAGCTTGTAAACTCATACATACATCTACGGGTTGTCATGTGGGAACAAAACGTCCTGCTTGAAAAAAATTGGATGCAAATATGGACATAAGTATATCTTAAAGCTCCAGATGTCCTTCTAAAAGGCATTGTGTCTATCCAGATGGCAATTTCCACCGTAAGTTGAATTCTGAACTTAGAGTGTGAGAGAAGCTACCACAAAAGAAAGATAGCTTTTAGCTCAAAGTCGTGTTTTTGTTGCCCAACAGATATTGGCCTGTGAGTTGCCATATACACAGACCCTTTGATTCCTACCTACCCCATGGACTTGTAAGGATCATCATCCATATTCGAACTGTTAGTATCAAGTTGTGCTGTATCAGCACAACTTGCTTTAAAATGTCCATCCTGAAGTGATCCTATGGGATTGCTTATGTCTCCGGTGTGTTTTCCCATCTTCTCATATATGTTATCCAGGTCTGTGATTGATCCGCCATCCCATTTATTGCAGTGCCCTGCATTCTAAGTAACTTGTGCTTTGCTCGCATAATAATCTGCCTTGAGTAACACACCCAAAAGTTCACTCTACTTATTCTTTTTGCTCCCAAAGCCAAATTTCTGCCACCCACAAACTATTGCTCTAGCCAGGAAAAAATGGAAAGGTTGGACCTGCAGTGTGTGGCCCTGATGTACAATTATGCAAAGGTAAACCCCATTGATTTTAATGAGACACAAGTGCTTGTAACTGTGAACTATGGGTGAGAAGGAACAACTTGAACTAAGATCTGCGTATGATTGTGTGGTGAAATTCACCTTTAATGTTGTGTGGATCTATTAATAAAATAAAAAAAGTTAGTGCAAATGGTCTGTTTTAAAGTCGTTATACAAATCTCTAAAATCCCATTATTTCAGAGGCAAGACTACATCCTTGCTAACAGAAATGAAACTGTTGTGTTTGAAACAATACCATAGGTTAAGTTAGAAAAGAAAATGGCCTTATATATTAAAGTCAGTACTTCTAGTATTAGCAGAAACTCCAGAATGTAGTTCAGAAGAGCTGCAAAGCACCAAGAGTGGTCTAACTCTTTCACCAATGAAATTGAATTAATTGTCTACTAGTGGTCCAGATTGCTAAATCCAGAAGGTGCTTTTCAATTGTTTCAACAACCTTTGTGATTTCTTGTAAACTGCGTTGAGGATTGGGGTCTTAACAGTATCTATCTTCAAGTGTAATGATTGTCTTGGTGCACTCTTTATTTTTAAAAATTAATGGTAACACAAAATGTATTTTACTGCTACATTTAAGATGTATTTATAATAAAGATGCCTTTTTAATAAATACTATTGCAATTTACCAGTGCATTATGTTTGCAGTATATGGTGAAGGATGGTCTTCAAAAGCTCAGAAGCACAACACATGTTGGGGTTCAGCACTAGTTTGAAATAAGCTTTTTTAAAAAACTGGAAAGACAGACTGAACTACATTTGAGAGTGGCCCGTTCAGTTGTCCTTGGCCAAAATAGCTCCATCAATGTTTGGTCTTTCATTTAACGTGAAACCAGTTTCATGTATCTTTCTGGAGTTTGTTGACATGCAAGTTTAACAATTCTTTCTAAAAGTCTAGTGCACTAGCATTCAAGAACGGCACAAACATTTGTTTCACTACCAAGGCATAAACATGTGCATGAGTAAATATGTTACTGCTTATTAAAAGCTGTAACATTTTGACAACAGATATTCCTAGTGTTGCTCTTCACAGTATTTCTGTTGTCAAAGAAGGTGTGCCTAGGGATAAAAATGTTGAGCAGTGAAGGACTGTGCTTGGAACCATAGGTTGGAAAAGAGTTTTGTACTTCATCATGAAGCTTCATCTTTGGCGCATGGATATGGTTAGCAAGGCCATAACTGGGAATGACATATCCCCAAAACCAATTGAACTGCCACAGAGCTCTATGAATTTGAGATGTTGGCAGCACTCTTCACTGTAATCTTTGTTGGTTTTTTCTCACCATTCACTTAACTGGAAGTAGAAACCCATTCCTTACTCTTGTCATTTGGAATGCTGTATATCCCGACTTGGAGTGGCCTTTAATGGATTTTCTGAACACATACATTTTCCAGACTTTGGTAATTTGGGAAGGGGATATCGAACAAGAAATTGTACTGGTTTATTGGCTGCCAGCCCAAGACAGGATTGTGGTTTGGAAATAGGGCAAAGCTAGCATTGTTTGCTTCAAAATGTTTACTCTGAGTCTGATGCTTAGCAGTCAAATGTAATAGCCAAACATACACATGCATTCATCATTGTGTGGCTTCACATTGTATCCAACCTATGCCAACCCTAAGGAAATCCTTGGCAAGGTTTGGTCAGAGGGGATTTGCAGTTGGGGAAGAGAGAGTATGGCTTGCCAGTGGGTTTCCAAAGCTGAGCAGATATTCATACCTTGGTCTCACAGAATCTTCATCCAGTCTTCAAACCACTACACCACACTGGGTCTCAAATATATGCATGTATTGCATGTATTGTACATGCAAGTACAATACATTGTAGTGTAAACATGTTTCCCATTGTAATAAAACACAAGAGGTCAATTCACATACTGGCAATTCTCTTTTTAAGTGCATCACGATTGAATATTTTTGTATGCAAATGAAAACTGTAATGTATAAATACCACAAATGTTTGTCAAAGGTTCACTCACCTGAGAGTTGGGATTGGCCATGGTTCTCTGACAGGTAAACATGTGGTGCCAAAATGTTGATTTACCAGAATATAATGTGCAATGTATTCCTAACGTATTGCTATAATGGTTCCAAGTACACTATGTAGCATCCACCCAACACATTATTGAACATAGTAGGAATGGTTGTTAAGAATGTTTTTCCCCAGAGGTATAATGACCTCAGATACATTCCGATCTATATAAATGCAAGTGCAGAACATCCAGGACGTTAGTATATTGTCACTGGATTTCTCTCTCTCTTTGAATCTAATTTCTTCTCCTGTTATGTCCTTTCTTAAGGAAAAGTAACCCTTCACTTTCATTTAAAGTAATTTCAAAAATCATCCCAATTGCTACCAAGGGATACATGGTTGCATCAACCATGTTAATTATAGCTTATTTCTTGTCTCCTGGTGCCTTGGGGATGTAAACAAGTCTGTCTTTCAGGCAGCACACAGGCAGTGAATGTCTGTCACAGACTAAGAGTGGCTGTCTTCTAAAGTGCTATGTTTTCCTTGTTGACGCAAGACGTTTCATTTCTCACCCAAAGAAGAAAAGTTCCATATGGAGTTTTAGTAAATAATAAAGGCTGAGGCAAATCATACACAAAGTACAACTTTGCTTTCCCTCTAAAAACAGATGATATGCATGTTGAAAAGTCTACATTGACAACCTTGAGTTCCAAATCCAAGTAGGTTTAATAGTTAAACAAACGGAAAAGCAAGAAGAAACTCAGAATCATCTTTCTCCTTAACTGAAGTATACTAATTGTACGTGGAAATGCAGTAATTGTGACAATCTGGGATTGTTTTGGCACCAAAGAGAAGACATGACTGACCCCGTGAGTATAGCATGCTTTCTTTGTGTATAAATTAGGTAAAGACTACCAATGGCTCTGTTTTACTTAATGGAGATTCAGATCAGGGAGTAACGGCAATGCTTATTCATACCTCTATTTCACATGCAACTCTTTTTTTGTGGCAGAACTTCCACTGGATTGAGGCCTCTGTGGGAAGTATTTAATAGTTGCTGTGAAGCAAGAAACGCCTTTGCTTTCACCATAAACTCAAATATGTCATAATGCCAATTTTTTCTCAGAGAATTAGCAGTAAGTGCTATATCCCATTATCTTACCAAAAAGCACTTCGTTACGTGAATTTCAAAAGGTGGGCTGCAATTTTCCCTTTGAAATTTGTATTTTAAAAAATTAACTTGTCAAGCAAAGTAGCAAAGATGTATAGCAGATATAAATTTTTGCTCTGCAGAATATGGCATCATGAAATCCCATTGTCCATTGTTTTATTCTCAGCTCCTCAATATGTGTATATATGGATTGCCTCCCAAGTGCTTGATCTAAAGTAACCTGTTTCTGGACAGATCATAGTGTACGATTTCTAAAATACTTACTGTACGTTGTGTTCAGATACATAGACGTCTGAAACCTATATCTAGATCTCTGTCTATACCAGTGGTTCTCAACCTATGGGTCCCCAGAAGTTTTGGCCTTCAACTCCCAGAAATCCGAACAGGTGGTAAACTGGTTGGAATTTCTGGTAGTTGTAGGCCAGAATACCTGGAGACCCAAAGGTTGAGAACCACTGGTCTACACCATCACCCTAAAGAAACTTCTTGCATCCTGGTGGTAGCACAGAATTGAGTTACGCCAGGAAGTTACGCCAGCAAGTTATGCCAGGAAGACCTTTCTCCCCACTTCAACAACACTAAGGGCATCCTGCACCTCCCCCCCCCCCCCCCCCCCCCCCCCCCCCCCCCCCCCCAGACCTCAGATACTCTGAGAATGGGTAGTGATTGCCCAGTGAGGACAAGCAAGTAATAAACTCTCTGATGCTAGTGACTTTCATCCATTCCTTGAGACATTTAATCTTGGCCTTGCATTGGTGACAGAAGCCTAGGGCCTTTTCACGCTACACAATTATTGTACTGTGATTCCCCCTTAACAGCCATAATTTCATCCTGCGAAGTCTTGGGATTGACACATTAGAGCTGGATAAATTCTATGTCGGAGACCTTCTTTAGTGCCCCACAAACTAAAAACAACAACAACAACAACAACAACAACAACAGAATTCCATAGAAGGCTGCCATGGTAGTTAAGGAATCCCAACTATAACTGCCTTGAGTCCTGGTTTTGGAAGAAAAGCAGGGAAATAAGTAAATTAACCGCATCATTGGACGAAGGATCATAGAACTGTAGAGTTGGAAAAGACCACAAGGGTAACCCAGTCCAACTCGTTGCCGAACAGCACATGCCAAATAATGTGTTTCCATATATGCTTTGCCTTGGATGTTCCTCCATGTTCTTCAGCAGACAGATTTTATTTTCACCTCAGTTGTTACGTAAAGATACTTCTCGCTGCAGTTGGTGTTACATTTACTTTCCTCCAGGCATAATATTTTAGGTTCTATTTACTGAGACCAGTTTGCTTTCATTAACATTTCTCCAATATATATCCCCATCGGGAATGTCAGGACATTCATTTGGCAGAACTAAAATATACAGTGGCAATTGCAGTGGGCTTTCAGAAATGTCTCCTACTGCCTCCAGAAGTGAGCTCCTTCTCAGTATTATGGCAATTTATTGAAAAATACCTCAAGCAAAGGCATTCCGAACCCCATGGAAAAGACCCTTGCCTTGGTGATCATCTTCCCCACTGCCTTCCCACCTCAGTAAATATTGATGTTATAGTGCCTTCAATAGGAAGACTTCTTTTAAAAATAGGCATACATGCTATAAAGCATTCCCTTGGCTGAAAGCATACCGTGATCCCAATATACACGTCAGCATCCATTCTCCACAACAGGGAAGAACCTTTTGTGTTGGCTTCTTTATGTGTCCAACAGAGTAAGACTCTTTGTAGAAGCGAATGGGAAAGCCATTTAAGGTAAGGATGCCACAGGATTTTTTGATGCAACAAGATCTCGGTGTAAGGAAATAGCTGTGGACAGAGTAGCTCCAAACTTGCCATTTTGTTATGTTTTTAGATAGACCACGAAGACTAGATTGTTCTGCTAAGCTTGCCATTGTTTCTGGTGACATGATTTGATTTGATTGCAAAATGTGTAGCTACTTTTTTCCACGCTGTGTTCAGATGTAGTCATCCACATTTACTGTAGTTAGGAACACAGGGCTCCCATAAAAGTGAAAAAACTGAATACCTAAATTACTATTTTTCTTTTACCATATTGAACCCTTCTCCAGGAATTTTCAGGTCTTCAGCATGACTTTATGGTGGAATTCCATTGCAAGCTGACCACAGAAATGCACTGGAGGACCTAGAGATTCCTAGAGAAGCATTCCGTCAAGAAATCTCTAGGTCCTCCAGCATGACTGGAGGAAGTTGACCACAGAATCACACTGAATGTTTTAATCAAATCTGAGTAATCCATAAAAGTCAAAGCTGCAAATATTATCGATTTTTATTGTTTAACCAAATTCTGTGTATCACCTTCAGTGTCCAGTGCGCAGAAAATGAATTCATGTTTCCATCAAATGAAATAAATAAAATGGGTCCATGTATATATACACAGGTTGAGTATCCCATGAAATGCATGGGACCAGAATGTTGTGGATTTAGGTATTGTTTTGGGTATTTTTGGATTTTGGAGTACTTGTATTTACATATTTGTGCATAACAAGATACTTTAGAGATGGGGACCAAGGTCTAGGCATGGAAATTACTTAAATTTTATATATATCTTACACACTTAAGCTGAAGGTAATTTTATATACAATATTTTAAATAATTTAATTGTACACTGAATGATCAGAAAGCAAAGGTTTCATGATCTCAGCCACGCACGGAGACAACTTCAGATTTTACAGTGTTTTGGATTTTGGGATTCTGGGTAAGGAATGCTCAACTTGTACTGATTTGTTCATATTTCGTCTGCCATCCTTAAGAATCATGAGTGTGATAGAGAGGTAGGGCCCAAATCCCACTTAATGCTAATAGCATGTTCAAGCCTACCCAGAGATTTCTGCTAGAGATTTTGGAAAGCCAAGTGCTTGAGCATATCCCCTAATATCTCACAGAAGAAAAAACAGAAAAGATATGGCCGAGTAACTTGAGAGTGAGGTCATGATGGCAAAAGTTATGAATGCAGAGGAATGCACAAACTAGGAGAAGTTTCAGCAGTTTCCCTTTGCCTGAGGCTACTGGGAAGGGACAGATTTTTTTTCTCCATTTCTGCACTTTGAATTCAGTTTTCAACAATAGATAAACTGAGGACAAAGAGTGAAAGTGGGGAGGAGGAGAGACAAATGGGGCATTTGGAAAGCAGCTTAAAAAGTGGGAAGACAGGATTAAATTGAGCTAACCATGCCAAAGCAAGATAGTTGGAGAGTACGCTGTAGCCAACCAGAGGGTATTGTTTCATCTGGGCAGAGGCCACTAGGGGGCATTAGAGAAGGATGGTCCATTTTATTGGGGGGGGGGGTAAATTGAAGGAGTAAAACAACCCCACCCCTGTTTTTCTGTTATTCCCACCACCCATGCCATCATGGTGGAAACTACCCTTGTTTATGATATGACAAGGGGGGAGGGGGAATAACTAGCAAAAATGGGGGGACTATTTCTCTCTCTCTCTCTCTCTCTCTCTAGCACCCCCTAGTGGCCTCCACCCAGATAATGGAATAGTACTAAAAAGAGCTGCACTTAAGTAGTGGATAGTTAATAGGCATGGGTAATCTATGGTTCTAAATGGTTCTAAAGTACTTACAAAACTAAGAGGTGCTGGTGCTTTGCTTCTACAGTGTTGCTGAAGTTCTGGTGGTGAAAATTTCAGAACTCTAACATAACTTTCAAAATGTATTATTATTTATTGGTGAACCAATTAGGAACTGCCATTTATAATGAAATTTTGAAAGTTTTGTTAGAGTTCTGAAATTTTCACCACCAGAACTGTAGCAACACCGTAAAAGCTAAGCACCAGCGCCCCCTAGTTTTGTAAGTATTTTAGAACTATTTAGAAGCATGGATTGCCCATGCCTAATAGTTACTGTTGCCCAACACACTGAACGTGCTTTCAGAGAGGTATTACCGACCAACTTGTGCAACATCCAAAGAAGTACTTATACAAATACAACTCCCAATTACAGTGGTGTAACGGATTCCAGCCTAGGGTGTCAGTTGATCATTTTTTGATTTGTTCAACAGAATTCTGAAAGTGGGATTACTAGTAGTATATCGCGTCTGGTGGGGACGAGAGACAGGGCCTTCTCAGTGGTGGCCCCTTGGCTGTGGAACTCTCCCCCGATAGAGATCAGATCTGCCCCCTCCCTCCTGACTTTCAGAAAGATGGTAAAATCTTGGCTCTGGAACTTAGCATTCTCAGATTGATGATCAAATCAATAACTGTTGACCACAAGGCGGATGGTGGTGAATTTGTGATTTACCTTGATGAATTGGCTTTATGTAATTCTTGATCTGTATTTTAATGTGTTTTAATGTATTAATGTACTATGATGTTATTATGCTTTAGTTTATTTGCACATTGATTGATTCTCTGTTGTTAGCCGGCCTGAGTCCCTCCTCGGAGGTCGAGAAGACTGGGTTATAAAAGCTCTAAATAAATAAATAAATAAATGTTAAAAATGTCAGAGCTGGCATTGCAGAGCACTTATGCCATTGGCAGCATTGTTAAGGTGCCAGAACCTGTCCAGGACCCACAATTCTTAGTATGGTATTTCAACAAAAACAAAACAAAACCCCAAGAAATATATTTTTTGTGATGCAAACCAAAATGTGTAGATACAAAAGGCAACTCTTGGTAAATGCAACAAAAACCACAAAGCTCATCTTGAGATAAAGAGACCTTAATATTCTCAGAACTCAAAATACCAACCAATTTTGAAACCTGTTGTAGGTAGTTGTCTTAGGTTTTTTGGCTTCAATTTGCATTTTCTGTGTATCAAGCTGTCTATCGCTCCATACAGACACTTATTTTATAACCTACACTTCAGTTGCCTGTAAATTGGGTCTCCCACTTAAAGATAACCTTTTAGGCCTTGACTGGGCAGGCAAGGCTTCCAGAATCAACAATGAGTTTCTGTGAATTAATCTCAAGAAGGGAAACTTTCACCCTTTGTGCAACTATAGCATTGTTAGATTAATATGCACTGCATTATGTTTTTTTGGGAAGAGGCACTATGTATGCAGCCAATTAGTGGAGATCACAGAGAGTGCATTAAAATTGGGCTGAACATACAATTACACAACAGACTTTTCAAGGTATTCTATTGTTAAATTCTTTTTAGGTCATATATTGCATTACAGTAATGCTGATCGTTTAATTTCTGCCTCATTAATATGCTTTGCACTCTAAATTGGATCCAGAGAGCAAGAAATATCACATAAGTTATTATTACTCCTCCCATAATGAGACACAAAATCTCCCACCACAATTTTGTCTTTTGGGAATATTCTGAATGCCTTGGTTATGTCCAAACTACCAAACATATGCCTTGAAGATCTAACCAGTCCATAGTTCAGGAAATGAAGCCCAACTGCTCACTGGAGGGGAGGATATTAGAGGCAAAGATGAAGTACTTTGGCCACATCCTGAAGAGACAGGAAAGCTTAGAGAAGACAATAATGCTGGGGAAAATGGAAGGGAAAAGGAAGTGGGGCAGACCAAGGGCAAGATGGATGGATGGGATCCTTGAAGTGATTGGATTGCCCTTGAAGGAGCTGGGGGTGGTGATGACCAACAGGGAGCTCTGGCATGGGCTGGTTCATGAGGTCACAAAGAGTCGGAAATGACTGAGCGAATGAACAACACCAAACATGATTTAACACCTGTCATCCTGCACCTCAAATGTGGCAACATGTAGTCCTTGGGACCCCTAAGTGAAGGCATGAGACTCTTTCAAAGTTCTCGAAATCCACAGACTAGTGTTTCATGGGGATTTTTATTTGCCTGAAAACTACACAATAAGTGTCCAGATTGCTGTGATGTTCTTCTCTTGATTCTCTAAAGCCCTCAAACTTCCCCGAACATCAAAGTAATTGTAAACTTGGCTGAAAACTGGCCAAATTGGCAGCCAAAAGTGACATCACAACACCCCTGATGCTCTGACATGTGAGGGTGTCATCTGCCAATTAGGCATAGGGTAGAAAATATGTATTTATTTGCTTAATTTATGCCCCACTTTTCTCAGCCCCGTGGTGTCTCCCACGTCATCTGTGCAGGTGTCTATGTTGTACATGCACCAAATGATTTGTGGTATCTCTGTCTTCAGAAAGCCTTCCAAATAGTCCTTTTTGCCAGCTTGTCTGAAGTCCAACCCTGTTTGCTGGTCTCAGAGCCACAATCCCACACCCAAGTAGCCCTAAGCAGTTATGTGCCCACTCCACACACTTTTTTTTTAAAGTCACAAATGGTATTAACTCCTAAAATAGAGGAATTTTCTTCTGATTGTAAGAGAGGTTCTGGCAGGCTGAGTGGCGATATCCAACTACTTTAATAAAAGATGAAATATTTCCCCAAGCTAATGTCAACTTTGTAGTTGCCCCTGGTAAATAAAGAATGGGGGAGGTATAATTTTACAGACAGAAACACAACTTCTGACATCCTTAATCATCATAACCAATTATGAGAGATAATGGGAATTACAGTTCAACAAAATTTGGAGGCCCAAATATTCTCCATTGCTGCTCAGCATGCGCTTTAGAAAAATGAGACTTTGAGGAGGCGGCAGTGTTTCAACTAGAGAAGTAGCTAGAGCCTTGCGTAGGTGCAGTTGAATCATTTCTCTTGATGTTGCTCAAATGCCTTCTTCAATGCAGCAAGTCATTTGGTAAGCACACACCCCACTATCCTCCATCCCTTTTGACTTGGAACATGGGGAACCAACCAGAAATCACACAATGTTTGCAGTGCCCTCTTTGCAAGTATAGGATCCAGCACACCTACCCTGGCATATATTGATACTGCTAAAAAATAATGGCATATTGAGCAGTATAATTTCACCACCGTCAGCATTTCCTTGTACTGTGATATCTCAATGGACTCAGTGGAGACAAGAAGTAGGTCATAAAAGTGGGCACAAAGTAGCAGAACATTGAGGAGAACTTTTCCATCCCAGTGTTATCCAAAGCCTTGACATATTATTATTATTATTATTATTATTATTATTATTATTATTATTATTATTATGAATCGTTGGGTTGTTGTAAGTTTTTCAGGGTGTATTGCCATGTTCCAGAAGCATTCTCTCCTGTTGTTTCGCCTGCATCTATGGCAGGCAACCTCAGAGGTTATTTATTTATCGTGTCAGGAGCAAACCAAACAGTTGTATTGCATTTTAAACAAACAAACAAAACACAAAGTTTGCAAGCTTGGTAGTTGATTAAATGTCCTTTGACCAGTAGCTGGCCACTTGGAGTGCCTCTGGTGTTACTATAAGAAGGTTCTCCATTGTGCATGTAGGATATGAGGTCAGGAGAGAGTGCTTCTGGAACATGGCCATACAGCCCGAAAAACCTACAGCAACCCAATAATTCCGGCCATGAAAGCTTTCAAGAACATATTATTATTATTATTATTATTATTATTATTATTATTATTATTATTTATAATGCACTCAAGAACATCACATATTCCACAAACTGATCGTAGCGTTATTTACAGATGTTCACTCATCCAGTTGCCCCCCCCCCCCCCAGATGAAATAAATCGTTTACATGGTGGCCAGAATATGGATTACACATCTCACTTCCACATATACTTTGTCAAGAGTGGGTGGACAAAATACATTTCCCTCTTGGCTGGAGAAACATCGCCCCATCTTCAACTATATTCAGGGGTCAGCATTACGAATTGGTGACGCCTAAGAGCACAATTATTTATAAAAGTTGTTACAGCTGGCAACTTTAACACATTAGAAAATGTCTTCGCGTTAAACTCTGGTTTGATTCTATAAACAGGTATTACCCCAAAATGTTTCAGGCACTGAACACTGAGTCCAGAGGTCTGTTCAAATATCTATATATAGCTGACCTTCTGGTAATCAAGGAGGATATGATGTTACTTAAGTGGCAATAGGAGTTGCCGTGGCTTAATGCTCTGGCTCAGCATCCATACAAGTCTCCCATGGGTTTCGAGGCATGCGAGGCAAGGAGATGATGAGGAGAGCAACTCCACAGAGAAAGAGCAGGACGAAAGAAGTACAGGCACAGACAAAAGACCAGGAGTAGTAGTACTCAATCCAGGCAGTATCATCGCTGTCCACCATCTTCTTCACAGATTGCCTCATGACTTCCACAGATACAATAATACACAAGCCTGGAGGGTGAAAAATAAAAAAAATGGCTGAAAAATAAGTATCTCAGAGTCACTACTTTAGGTTTCATGATTTACCTAAATCCCAGGTTTCTTTCCTGACTGATTTGCATTGCTGGGATGGTATAGCACCATGACGGATCTAGTCTACCATTCCAATGGAAGGTTCACCTACTGGACATAAAGTCAACAGGCATCTGTTGCCACTGTTCTCCAGTAACTGGGGATCTGAGGGTGAATCTAAACTAGGCATGGGCAAACTTTGGCCCTCCAGGTGTTTTGGACTTCAACTCCCACAATTCCTAACAGCTTACTGTATTTTCATGAAAATACAAATCCCTTCCACCATTTATATTCTGGGGGATGAGATGGGAGGCAACTAGCAACTGCAAAACTGGCTTTCCATGCAGCCCCAGATCTGCATTTGTCCTTGCCCTGAGATAAGAGGTAGATAATAGAAGATATGTATACTGAACAGAAAGAAAGCATGCGGTAGAGACAGAGTTTTTGAATGGGAGAGAGATAAGAAGGCTGGGAAAGCATCTTTAAAGCCATGGTGCACATCAAGGGATCTAAGCAAGAACATGGAATGTGCTTAAGTTATTTACTCCCACCTAAATTCTGCCTCTATATTTGTAAACAAAATTTGCTGACATAACCCTATAGCAGGGAGTTGACGGAGTGCACTGGCCTTGGAGGGACTCACCACTACCATCACACTGATGCTCCAATTCATCTGTCTGTCTGTCTGTCTGTCTGTCTGTCTGTCTGTCTGTCTGTCTGTCTGTCTGTCTGTCGGTCTGTCTGACTATCTGTCTATCTGTCTATCTATCTATCTATCTATCTATCTATCTATCTATCTATCTATCTATCTGTCACAATGACTCCAGGTTGCGCAAGAAGCAATTCTGCCATAGCCAAGAAGGTATGAATGTAATCCTTCCAGAACAAAATGATAACAAATAAAAAGGGATGCTGACCAAGTCTAGGGATCTTCAGTGTGACGTTTAGGATTTAATTTTTGCACTGCTGCTCTATAGTGATCTCTCCTCCAAAAAAGCTCCTGAGTCCCTCTGTAGAGGTTGAGATAGGACGGGATATAAAAGCCCGAAATAAATAAATAAATCCTTATAATTATCTGGACGGAGGCCACTAGGGGGTGTTAGAGAGAGAAGGATAATCCATTTTATGGGGGTGGAGGGTGGGTTGAAGGAGTAAAACTATTTCCCCCTATTTTTTCTGCCCCCCCCCCCATTTTGTCATTGTGGAAGCAACCCTTGTGTATGATATGAGAAGGGGGGAGGTGGGATATTGAGCAAAAATGGGGGAAATGGTTTTCCTCCTTCAACTCCCTCTGTAAAATTGACTATTTCTCTCTTTATAGTGCCCTCTAGTGTCCTCCACCCAGATAATGGAGCTACACTTAAGTACTGGATAGTTTACTGTTGCCCAATGCTCTCGGAGAGGTATTAGTGACCAACTTGTGCTGCCTTTCTTTTAGAGGAACACACAATCCCAATGATATATTTCTGCAAACTAACTTTTCTTATGTCTGGCTAGTAACGCCCAGAGAATGAAATGAACCATGACAATCCATTGAAGATGTGTCCTGCTGCAACACACAGAACCAACAAGGTAATTTCACAACTGGAGTCAAATATATGTCCATGCCCTCTTCTGACACATTAATAGGGGTGAACAAAGTAACTGTATCTTTCTTTGGCAAACCTGTGCTGTTTTCCTCTTTGACCATTCAGTTTTCTACTTAATCCCTTCCCATCCCTTTCCAAATGTGATGCGTACCATGACATTAATGTTGCAATATCTGCACAGGATGGCCTACCTGAAAATGTATAAAACATGGAAGCTGGCCTCTGGAGATAATCCATCTTTTTCCTGAAGGATAGCAGGACAAGAATTGTTCCAATGATGGAAAAGACGACACTGAAGATGGCAATGGCAGCTGCAGAAATACTGTATTCTGGCAAGACAAAACACAAAACGAAAAGTAGTGATTATCTGCAAAGGACTCTTCCAACTATGCCGGAGCTGCAAACTTCACTTAAAATAACAAATCAGAAAGACGAGCTTTACTCCTTTTTGTCTATGGACATTTTCTCTAAGGATAGTTTGGGCAGTCCAGCACTTTGCTTGGCCAGGAATGCTTAGGGCTAGAAATATATCGGCTGATGTGAAGATTCTTCTTCAAATCTTGGTTTGGTGATTTGCATAAGACAACGGAACCAAGTTGTGTGGTACTACATTATTTTTCCTCACAGTCATAAACCCTCAGTGGTGCAATGGGTTAAACCACATCTGGTGGGGATGAGAGACAGGACCTTCTCTGTGGTGGCCCCTCGGCTGTGGAACTCCCTGCCTAGGGATATTAGATCAGCCCCCTACCTCCTGACTTTCCGAAAATGAGTAAAAACCTGGCTCTTCGAGCAAGCATTCTAGAGCTAGAAAATGACCCAGGAATGACCAAGACAATGGAACGGATGATGATTGAACGAGAGGACATAGTTCTTTTAAAATTGTTATTATGCACTGCCTTTGTTTAAATGCACTTTAATGTTTTTGCTTTATTAATGTATGTATTTTTATGGCATCGAATTGTGCCGACTGTGTATATCACCCTGAGTCGCCTCCGGGCTGATATGGGCGGGATAGAAATGATATAAATAAATAAATGTAAACAAATAAACCGCTGAGCTGCTGAACTTGCTGACTAGAAGGTTGGTGATTCAAATCCGCAGGACGGAGTGAGCTCCTGCTGTTAGCCCCAGCTTCTGCCAACCTAGCAGTTTGAAAACATACAAATGTGAGTAGATCAATAGGTACCACCTCGGCGGGAAGGTAAACGCTTCTCTATGCAGTCATGCTGACCACATGATGTAGGAGGTGTCTAGAGACAACGCCGGCTCTTCGGCTTAGAAATGGAGATGAGCACCACTCTCCAGAGCTGGAAAGGGAAGCCTTTATTTTTATCTTTGTTTGTTGTTTCTAGGCATTGAATGTTTGCCTTGTGTCTGTGTTTGCTGGAATCCGTCCTAAGTCCCCTCAGGGAGACAGGGCAGAATACAAATAAAATTATTATTATTATTATTATTATTATTATTATTATTATGAATTTTTTGTATCAAGAATCCGGATATGCAAGCAAAATCCGTCAACCATCTGTCGTACAATGAAATGATTTTACAAAGTAATCCTCTTAAGGAGGTTTACTTGGAAGTTATTCTCATTGTTTTACTAATTGTACTCCTGAGTTTCTCAGATGGCTTTCCTCATCTAGGTGCCCTACTGTAACACCTGTCATCCTCAGCCAGCACAGGCCCTAGAGATGATGATGATGATGATGATAATAATAATAATAATAATAATAATAGTTTATTTGTACCTCGCTACCATCTCCCCAAGGGACTCGGTGCGGCTTACATGAGGCCGAGCCCACAATACATCCCAGATGCCAGCTGGAAATGGGAAGAGATTGGTGCCCATGCATTCAAGCCAACTCACATACAACCCTCCTTTCTCCTCTAGTGCCACTTGACTGCTTGGTATCACTGATTGAAGATTCAGGAAAGCACCGCAATTCGCTAAGATTTGAGTCAATACTCTGAAGGATATGCAAGATAAACCCTCTCATTCCCTAGAAATGTCACCCAATGGAATTCCAGGAAATGCTTCCTATTGTTGCTCTTGGAATGGCCTTTTTCTCCGTCGACCGGGTTCGTACAGTGCATGACAACCAAAACAAAGAAAATTGCGTCTTACCTCTTTGAGTTGATACTTCAAATATTTCCGTGCTCTCTCCTGAGACAAAGTGTGTGAAATATGAACAGTTGCGTTCTGGAAAAAAAAAACAAGCAGAGATGAAGGCAGAATGTTAGCCGATTTCCTTCATTATTTCGTTCTTGGCTGTGAGTTAAAACAGACTGGGGGCTTGAAAAATACACTGCAACATCCAATGGATGTATGTTTTCTCAGAAGTTAATTCACACAGTTACATTGTCTAAGAAAACAGGCATAATTTTGCAATTTTAAAGCATTGCTTGCTCATTCATTTCTCTTCTTCAGGATGTGGAAAGGTAATGTTATGTGGACAACTCCTGGCCAATGAAGGGTCCTCAGACAGAATGTTAGATGCTACATATGATTGTGGGAGATGTAATCTAAGAAAAGTAACTTTCCCAAGCCTCCTTTCAATATAAGGTACTACATATGAGGGATTTATATATACTAAGTGCCTGTTTGGATACTGGACTATGGGACTACCTGTAAAAGAAAGGAAGCAATCTGGACTCTTTCTTAACTCCTTCTATATACTGGTTATATATAGGAACACAGGAAGATGTTGTCTACTGTTTTCATGCTACTGGTCTGCCTACACCAGTGGTTCCCAACCTTTTTTTGACCAGGGACCACTTTGACCAGGGACCACGCTCCAACATTAGTACCAAAAGGGTTACGAATCGGTTTTTGGTCAACTGTAGATTCAGTTTGGTTATTTGTGATGCTGATTCAGAAAATTGCATTTGATAGACATCAGCTTTAGTTCTGGTACAGAACATATGCCATCAAGTAGTCACCATCTGTTCACCCACAGAAAACCATATTTAATAATCTAGAGGTGATATGCTAGTAGAAATCTTTCGTGGGTATCTCTCCCCTCCCGATATCCCTGTTACTTTGGGACTATAAGAGGGTTTCATGGGACCAGTTGCTCTTGTTGCCATGTGATTACAAGGGAACGGTGTAGTCATGTTGAGGCTGCGGACCATATTTTCATTCTAGCGGACCACTGGTGGTCCACAGACCACAGGTTGGGAATCACTGGCTTACACAAATGCTCTTGGCAATGACTGTAAACAGCTCTTTGGGGTTTTGGGCAGAATTCTTCCTACCCTTTATTTATTTATTAATTTACAGCATGTTTACCCCACCCTTCTCAACCACCCCTGGGGTGGGGGGTCTCAGAGCAGTTAACAAAGGCAGCAATTCGATGCCACAAATCAATAGCACAGTATAAAACCAGCAACTAATTATAACCAAATTATCATAACAATTAGGGCTGGGCGGTTTCGTTTCGTTAATTCGTAATTCATTAAAAATTCGTTATTTTTTTTATAATGAAGCGATAATGAACCATTCTGGAGCAACTTAAAAATGAAACGAATTTTTAAATTCGTTTCGTAAATGCTTCGGATTCGTTATGTATTCGTTTCGTTATCGGTTTGAGGTCGTTTCGTTATTATTTCCGCATGTCTGGGGCAAGTTTTATAGTTGTTTTTTGTTTAATTAGTGAAAAAAATTATAATATCACACCAACAGTCAACAACAGAGGGAGAGGGAAGCTTCAGAAGTTCCCCCTGTCCCATTTGGAGGTTTTTTAGCGTATTGCGCGGTCGCGTCCGCCATTAACGAATCGATTCGTTATTGTTTCGTATTTGTTTCGTTAATGTTTCGTAATTTTTTTAACATTTACGAAATTTCGTAAATATCGAACTTTTTAAAAGAAAAATTTCGGAATTCTTTTAAATATCGAAACGCAAAAACCCCCAAAAAACGAATCGATATTAGAAACAAATTTTTTCCGTTGTTACCCAGGCCTAATAACAATCATTAAAACAATACTCAGTCCACAAACCCATTGATAGAACAATAAAACTGTATCCTCATAGGGTTGTTGTAGGTTTTTTCAGGCTATATGGCCATGGTCTAGAGGCATTCTCTCCTGACATTTCGCCTGCATCTATGGCAAGCATCCTCAGAGGTAGTGAGGTCTGTTGGAACTAGGAAAAAGGGTTTATATATCTGTGGAATGACCAGGGTGAGACAAAGGACTCTTGTCTGCTGGAGCTAGGTGTGAATGTTTCAACTGACCACCTTGATTAGCATATAATGGCCTGACAGTGCCTAGTATCCTCATATATAACGTATATGTATCCGCTTATATAATGTCTTGACAATCCATTTCCAGTTAAAATGCTGCTTTATGTTTATTGTCCGAAAGCCTGGTCCCAAAACCAAGATTTTAATTTCTTCCTGAATGCCAGGAGGGATGGGGTCGATCGTATTTCATTTGGAAGAGTGTTCCACAGGCGGGGGGCTACAGCCGAGAAGGCCCTGTATCTTGTCCCCGCCAGCCGCGTTTGTGATGTTGGTGGGAGTGAGAGCAGGGCCTCCCCGGATGATCTTAAGTTACGAGGAGGGACATAGAGGCAGATGCATTTGGACAAGTAAGCTGGGCCAGAACTGTATAGAATTTTATAGGTCAAAACCAGCACTTTGAATTGAGCTCGGAAGTGGACAAGCAACCAGTGGAGCTGACACAACAAGGGGGTGGCATGCTCCCTGTATGTAGCTCCTGTTAGTAATCTGGCTGTCGCCAGTTGGACTAACTGCAGTTTCCGAACTGTCTTCAAAGGCAGCCCCGCGTAGAGTGCATTGCAGTAATCTATTCAGGATGTGACCAGAGCATGGACCACCATGGCCAGATCAGACTTCCCAAGGTACGGGCGCAGCTGGTGCACAAGTCTTAACTGTGCAAAAGTTCCCCTGGCCACCACCGAAACCTGGGGTTCCATGCTCAGTGATGAATCCAGGATCACTCCCAAGCTGCGAACCTGCGTCTTCAGGGAGAGTGTAACCCCATCCAACACAGGCTGTAACCCGATGCCCTGTTCGGCCTTTCGATTGACCAGGAGGGCTTCTGTCTTGTCAGGATTCAGTTTCAATTTGTTAGCCCTCATCCAGTCCGACACAGCAGCCAAGCACCGAGTCTGGACAGCTTCCTTAGTCACTTCCTTAGTGGGAAGGAGTGACAGATCTGGACATCATCTGCGTACAGATAACATCTTACTCCGAAACTATGGATGATCTCCCCCAGCAGCCTCATGTAGATGTTAAATAACATTGGGGACAATATTGAACCCTGAGGGACTCCACAAGACAATGGTTGCTGGAGATACCAGGAGTTGGGCCTCAGAACTTGCATGTGGAAAGCATGACTCTGCTTTTGAGCCACAGCTCTTCTACAAAGATCATATCTTTTGACCAAGACCATAATATTGCAGGCAACCACATGGAATCACTGTTAGCATAAGAAGAGTAAGTATAAACAGAGGCAAAGCAATCCAAACACTTTCCATTTTAGCAGATGAATGGCTCATAATGCCTGGCTGAATGGTTGTGGGCATGTACTCTATCTGGAGTGTGTAAACTCTTAGAGAAAAGGGGGAAAGTAAGTGGGAATGAGTCACATGCATAGAGATTTAGCAGACCATGTTCTGAAGTGTCAACCCTAATTTGGAGGGATATTGCACATACAGTGAGGTCTCTCAAACAAAGCTTAACTGGGAATGGTCTTTTGTCCTGTGATCCTTTCTGTATAAATAGAAAAAAATAATCTTAAAATGGTGGAGAAAAATATATGCATCATAAACTAAGTTCTGGAACTAAGTCCTGCAACATAGCATAAATATCTGCACGTGGACCAACAATACACTGGGCCAAATTCACCTCCCTTTGATTACCAAAAAGCACCATCCACATTTGTGTGTATGTGCTTTCAAGTCACCTGTCAAAAGGCTGGCCAAACAGAAGATACACAGATCTATATGGATTCTGGATCCACCATTCTTTTTTTTCCTTTTTTTTTGAGGAAGATAATATAAAAATCTGTAATCAAATGTAACTATACATCTGCTGGAACGATCATATAAAAAGTTGTTAATTACATTCAAGTCAATTTGACTGAAGCTGACAATAAGAATGAGAGAACTCCCAGAGCCCTTCCAGACAGGTCGTATATTCCAGGATCGGATCCCATGTTTTCTGCTTTAAACTGGATTATATTAGTCCACACTGCCAGATAATCTGGGATAAACAGAAAACCTGGGATCAGATCCTGGGATATAGAGCCTGTCTGAAAGGGCCCCTAGTCATCCTATTATCAGTTGCTCTGCTCAGATCTTACAGACTCAGGTCCCATCTACACTGTTATATAAAATCCAGATTATCTGGGTTGTTGTGGGTTTTTCCGGGCTATATGGCCATGTTCTAGAGGCATTTTCTCCTGACGTTTCGCCTGCATCTATGGCAAGCATCCTCACTACCTCTGAGAATGTGGATTATCTGCTTGATATTCTGGATTGTATAGCCGTGTAGAAGGGGCCTCAGGGCCATGACTTTCTTGAGTGTATCCACTTTGAATGTGGTCTTTCCCTTTTCCTACTGCACTTCACTTTTCTAAGCATTTTCATTTTCTAGTGAATCATTATATCTTCCAAAGATATAATACATTTATATCATACATAATGGAGCCCCCGGTGGTGCAGTGGGTTAAACCGCTGAGCTGCTGAGCTTGTTGACCAAAAGGTTGCAGATTCAAATCTGGGGAGCGGCGTGAGCTTCTGCTGTCAGCCCCAGTTTCTGCCAACCTAGCAGTTTGAAATCATGCAAATGTGAGTAGCTCCTGCGGGAAGATAACAGTGCTCCATGTAGTCATGCCAGCCATATGACCTTGGAGGTGTCTACGGGCAACGCTGGCTCTTCGGCTTGGGAATGGAGATGAGCACCACATGCAAGAGTCAGACTCAAATAGACATAATGTCAGGGGAAAACCTTTACCTTATCATCTACATAAATAAAAATGTAATGTTCATTTGTGGGATTAACATAACTCAAAAACCACTGGACGAATTGCCACCAAATTTGGCCACAAGATATCTACTAACCCAAGGACTGACCATCACTCAAAATTTTTTGATTTTGTCATTTGGGAGTAGTAGTTGCTGGGATTTATAGCTCACCTACAATCAAAAATAATTCTGAACTCCACCAATAAT